GAGACTGTATCTGAATCTGTGTGTTCAATGGATCTCGATGGATCATTCTACCACGAATTTCTGTAATTGCTTGTCAATCTGTTTTATCTTTGGTCCCCTACAAAATTCACGCTCAAAGAAAGTAACGGGAAATAGCATGAAATAGCACTTTCCTTTATCTTAAACCTCGTACACAATGTTTCCATTTAATATCTCTGAATTTTGTACTGAGAGAGACAATCACCTAAGCATCTTCTCCATGCCGTTCATTATTTTACACATATTTATCATTCCCTCTACCCTCTGATTTCTTTTTACCTGAAGCTGGAAAGTCTATGTAGTCTTCCTGAACATGGAAATTGCTCCATATTATTGTTTATTCTTCATTACTACTATATATTCACCCAATTATTCTATATCGGTTTTGAAATTAGTTGAATAGAATTACATGCATTATTGCAGAGAGAGGTACATGGTATATTTATACAGTAGCATAACGTATTCTCAGTTATTCTGCGTTTCTCTTCTAATAATTCCTTAGGCTTTACTGGTCTTTTAGCCAACGCTAGTCAATAAGCTGCAAAACCATCCATGGTGATTCCTAGGTCATGATTTGTAAGACATAACTAAGTCCATCATTAGGCATATGCTGTCAGATCAGTCTTCCCCACAAACACTACATTACATCTACGCGGACTGAATTTGGCCCACTATCTTATTGCCCCATTACTCAGTCCTGTGAGATCTCTGTGACATTCTTCCTAGTCAGCTTTTAGTCTTGCTACCTGGAAAAATGTGTCAGCACTTTATCATTCATCCTCTGTTGCAGCTATTTTATCAACACTTGAAACAGCACAGATCACAGCACGCGTTCTCTACAGGACTCCAGGGGTAATCTCCCTGCATTGTGCAACCTTATTATTTATTTCCATAGAGTTTGCCATCTTTATATAGTTATTAAACTGGTATAATCCTGTAGCGAGTTAATTTCCCAACAGTCTTAAGAAATTCCAGTCTTGCTGTATCAGTTACGTCACCTTCATCAGATGTTCTTCCAATCATTCAAACAATGTGAACAGATTTACAAAACCAGACCTCCTTCTGCAGAAGACAACTTGACTCTTCCCCATTATTGTCTTTATTCCTGTGACTACTAATTTTTTATTTCTAATAGTTTTTACCAAGGTGCCTAATACAGAAATTAGGCTCACTAGTAGTTTCTAGTTTTCCAAAAGCTCTCTGGGTCCCTTTTCAAAACCCTGACACCTTTACTGCTTTCCGTTCTTCCATTCTAAGGTCAATTTAAACAATGATTTTACACAACCACGTGTAACTCAGCTTCACAGAGTTCTTTCCAAGGTAAAGATCTCCTTTTCCTAGCAATTCCTTGCGCTGCTCTGCACAAAAACGTCCATGTTCTGTGAGCTCTCCCCAGTTTGTCCTGCCATGGGGAGACTTCCTTTATGGAACTACTCTGTAGCCAACAGTAATGCAAATAACTTCTCTGCTATGCCTTTATCTTCCTTTAGCTGACACGTAATATTACAATCATCTACCAGCTCATCAGGATCTCTGGCAGGCTTTCTACTGCTGACACATAGGTAAAAGTTTTATTATTTTTTACGCATTTATAAAGTTGTCCCTTAACCCTTTTTGGTGAACTTCATTACAGTTTTATATTTAACCTACCAAAGTTAATGCTCTCTCCTATTCTTCCCGTTTGGATAGGACTTCTGCTTCAGAAAGATGACTTATTTCTAGGAACCTTATTTGCTTTACTGTTTAAGCCAATCCTGGTTTATTTTGTGGCTTTCCTTCAGTCTCTCCCATTTCCCCTCCCTTCCTAGAGTTTCACCAATCAACCTGGACACAGTATTCTAGGAGATTTGCTTTTTTTTTTTTTTTTTTTTTTAAATCAGTGCTGCACAACAACAAAATTTCTCAACATATGTGAAACAACATTTCAGCTGTGATATTTTACTAAATTTACAGGATGCTTTTTTTGTGTCTGTTTAACATAGGATTTTTCCTCTTTGAAAAGTATAATCTATATATGTTACTCCTAGACGTCTTATTTGGCATTTGGATGTATGAATATATGTTTTTTGGGCCTGTGGCCATTTGAATCAGGCAATCCAGATTGCTTTGTTAAAAGTAACCAATCATTTACTTAATACTCTCCAGTAAGGGTATCAGCTGCACACTTAACCTAGGATTTTTTCCAGCTAGGATCACTGATGGAAACATTAAGTACTGTTAGAATGAGAACCGATTGACTGAGGCCCTCACAAAAATAACTCCACTTAGTCTTTCCTTACCAGCAATCACATTTTGAGATTTCCCAGGGCATTGCTCTTTAATCCATTTAGTGCATGCTTATGCTTGGTAAAGTCGAAAGTCACATCTTCACCATTAAAGCAGCACTTAACGAGAAGAGTTACATCCTCTGAAAAATATTTATTCTATTTGAACTATTTCCATCATATTTTGCCTATTTACATTTAAAATTGCATTAAAAAGTCAGGAACCTTGTGAATGGGAAAACATTTATTCATTCTATTCATGCTTGAAAACAGCCAAACCAACTTTATCTAAGTTAAATATATATATGTGTGTGTGTATATATATATATATTTTTTTCTTTTTTCAAGGCAAAGAACAAGCCTGAAAAATGTCAGTCCAAAAGAAGATATTTTCCTAATGATATGAGCAACTGAAAGCAAAAGCTAGAATAAAAGAAGCCATGCAGCTCAAATTCTTAAAATCGGCAGATTAGATAATTTGCCTTTAAGAGTTCTAAATAAATTGAAAGAAGAAACGTTTGGTCTAATAATCTTCATTCTGTATGGTTCTTTGAGTATGAAGGAAATTTATGAAGAGAAAGTGTGTAAATGAAGCATGAAATTCATTGCTCAACTACTGCTCAGCCATCCTTGCACCAATCCTAGGTAAAATACTGAAAAGTCTGATTTGGAATTTAGTTAAAGAATTAAAGGACATCCTGGAAAAAAAACGGTTGATGAGGTTTAGGTGTCATGTTCGAGAAGCAACTGAATACGAATCCCCAGTAAGATATGTTCTTAGCATGATTTTTTTCAATTATGAACAACAGAATACTGAATTAGACCAGAGACAAGTTATTACCTCTTAATAGGGTATTAGTTCAAAGTAACTAGCTCTCGGGGAGAGGGTGACTCAACAGTGGTGTGTAAGTACCTACTGAGGGAGAAAATAAATAAAACTGGATTCCAGCAGACAAAGATTGCTTCTGGAAGCCACAGGCTTAAATAACTTTAAACTGAAAACAAGATGAATATTTTTGCAGTAATGAGTTTATCCACAGGAATAATCTAGCACGTTATTACCAGATTCTCCATCATTAGAAAACTTTAAATCACAATAACTAGCCTGTGATCCATGATGAAATTACTGGGAGAAAACATCACGTCTTGTATCATGAAACAACTCAAGCTAAGGGCTCATTATTGGTATTTTTCTGGCCTTAGTATCTGTACTAAACAGCCTTACTCTTTCACTGTACGTAAATTATCTCCAGAGAAACAACACATAGTAACATCTGCTTTTTCCAAGGCACGTCTATGTTTCAGCTTTTAAAGACAGGAAAGTTTTAGCTAGAGACATCTTACCTCAGTTAAACTGTTCTATCTCCCTCTTCTATACTATTTAGAGTTAATACATACACTAATACAGATTTAAATTACTCAAACCTCTTACAAAAAGATGAGGATGATAATGTTATCTACCTGCAGTTCTATTGTTTATTTATCCAGGGTTCCAAAATTCACACAAAAGATAGTATTGACAATTGTTTGTTTTACACTGGCACTGGAGACCAGTGTCTCAACATTTGCTATTTTATTTTGTTTTTAAGGTCTGGCTGCAGCATCTTGTGATTAGAGGGCAATCTCAGATATATATATATAATATATATATATATTTTTTTTTTTTTAAAGAGCTACCAGATACCATGCTTGCCAACAAAAACAAAGAAAGAATGTATCACCAGTTTCAAGCTTGGCTAGAAGGCCAGGGTCACCCAATCTAACCTCCATATGGGCAAGCCATGGAATTTTCCCCCGCAAACGGATAAAAGGTATCTTTTAGAAAAGTGCCAGTTGTGTTTAAACAAGCCCACAACCTCTTTTGACAAGTGGACCACCACACGCTCTAGAAGCTCGTACACAAAGGTCAAACAACATTACAATTTTCCCTTTGATGAACCAAACATACCGAGACCCTGAAGCCTCAACAGTATAACGCTCATCTCTCTAATCTATCTTCTGAACTATCTCCCAGCATTTCTACAACCTCCAGAAATGCAGAAGTCGCATGGTATACTAAGAAGAACCATAAGTCAAATATTAAAACAAACAATTTTGGTTCACCTGTCATGACTGCATTCCTCATTTCTGAGAGCTTTCAAATAGAAATACTGCAACAGACTTTCCACTCTTTCTGAGGGAAAGAAATTCTGAATAAACTAGTAACATTAGCTAACAAAAGCTTTCAAACTGAACAGGATGCAACAATGTGTTAATCCGCATGTCTTAGCCTCTCCAAACCTCCTTTGGAAAATACTATTGCAAAAAGCCTCCAGGTACTTGCCCTGTTGTCAAAAAACCCACCACACTTCACTATTTTAGATGACTTAATCTGTCACTGCATGACCTGAGCTTTCTAGGAATTGCATCATCTGGTACCAGCAGTGAACTTAACCACACATCTGCATTATGTACTGACAGTGCAATTTGTTGTATTGCTTACAATACAGATTTCTGCATTCCTGGAGCAAGCTCCTAGTCAGACCAAAATCAATTAAACCGTTGCCACTGACCTCTCACATAACCCAGAATTTCCACACTGGTCTCTACTGGCAACAATAAAGGGACAGAATAATGCCAATTTTCAAGATAATCTCAGCAGAACACCCATCCTGAGGGATGAGAAGTCAATGGGGAAGAGGGAAAAAAAAAAAAAAAAAAGGTAAACTAATCACTTACTTTGGGAAGATGACTGTCATGAGCGCTGATGCATAACCAGGCTTGCAAACTCCCTCAGAGAAATTTGCATACTTTGATGCCAATTCTGGAGGCCTGTGAAAAGATAAGGAGAGAGTCAGGACTCTCCTGGCTACGAACTGGCAAGTGTAATCATCCAAGTCATTTTATTATTTTTCCTTATAGCTTTTCTGAAAAACAGCTATGAGGAATAATAGAAAACACAGATGGATATTTATTTTTTGTTTTATAGTATCCCAGGAGAACCTCTACTTTTGCTGAAGTGAACCTCTACTTTTGCTGAAGTGTTTTTATATCTAGGAATGCCATCCTCCTGGAAGAAAATTATCAAGATACTATTTTAGACTTTCAACTTTCAAAAGGAAGTAAAACCAACAACTTGTTTTGGCCATTTTTCTAGAGTATGATAGAAGTAATAGAAGTAAAAACTCTAGGGAAGTATTATTTAGAAGATAAGTTTCAAGCATGTGAAACAAATCGCCAAGCAGTTCTGACAGGCTATCGCTGAGGGTGCGCATGCTTTCAGTATTTGGGACAGACAACATTGCTGCTGTTCTCCTGAGAAGTGTCCTAGTAATTCAGCTTTCCTAATGATTCCAGGGCCAAATTCAGAATATTGCTATCTTCATTCAGCTTTTGTACAGAAATAAGATCAGATTATCTACTAGCAATTCAAGAAAAGATTTGAGTCCAGTATATACTTTTATCACAGCTCTTCTATCATAGCTTACCTGGAGCAAACCATTTAATCCTTTTGTGTCTCTGTTCATCACCTGCAGAATTTTTCATCTATTTCACAAGAGTATTGCAAAGGTTAACTCACTTGCGCTTCTGAAGTAACTTTAGATACCTTAACCTAAGTCATGCTTGAGAATTAATGCTCTTCCAGAAAACTGTTTACAGTTACATGTTCAACATTCAGTGGAGATTGCAAGAGCTCACTACCACCAAGAGTCCAATAACATTGTATATACTGTACCATTTCGGTAATAGTAGGCATTTAATAAAGGAGTTTTTCCTACACATCAATAACAACAAACAAATGAAGTACTCTGTATACGTCTACTGAGCAGATTCACAAAAATTATTCCAAAGAGCTCATTACTATCATAACCATGCTTTCTTTTTCAGGCATGCCAACACGTGCTATGATACCAGTTAGCTAGAAAACTGCTGCTAAATGTAACAGATGTGGATCCAGAGAGCTGAGCACCCGAGCTGAAAGTCAGGTCTGGGAGGAGATCTGTGCAGCAGTGCAAACAGAGCTCCCCAGGTGGCAATCGGACGTATCTGAGCGACAGAGTAATTCTGCTCAACTGGCAGGACCACTCCTCCTTGTACTAGTCTCCTGGGATCACTACCCAAGCGATTAGAGCCATTTCCAACTGCATGACCAATAGACGGACATTTAGTTTTATGATTATCCACATGCACTACAAAAAATCCTGACTCTATACTACTTTCAAAGGGTAGCCTATTTCTGCTCAGTGGTCATCTAAGCTTTCAACACCTGGAAAAGGATGTAACCAAGAGAAAATAAAAAGTTACTGTAAGTTAGGAATTTCATTTCTTAAGACTTTTATAGATAAAAAGCACTGGAAGAAGCTTAAGATAACATGAATCCAATTCTAGTTCTGTCACAGGTTTCCTGAATAACTTTGGTCAAAATATTTACTCTTTTACTATCTCAATTCTTCATCTGTAAAATGGACAGAGCAATATAGGTGAATATGTACACTGTCATTTATTTATAGCAGAGATTATATTTCTCTAAAAATATGAGAGAGAGAAAGATACGGATATAATATATTGTCTAGCACAACAGGAATCTACTTGCTTGGTTTCCATAGATGATATTATAATGTGTATTTCTAAACAAGAGAGATTAGTGACTTCCTAAGAAATTAGGGGCTGGAATCCCAAAGACTTGCACTGAATGATTTGTGGTTTTAACTTCAGTAAGAATCTTTATAAATAGCCACAGGAAGGAAAAGGGCTGCTGTTACTGACAAAACAGAGATTAATACTACCAGCTAAAAAATTAATAACTTCGCTTTTCATTCATTAGTATCTTACAACAAAATGGGGATAGCACGGTGTGCAGATCACAGTTTACTGTTACATCCTAGCATTTCAGAAATGAAGAAATGTGGGAAATTTTACCCTTATCAAGCAAACTTAAGCATTGCTGGATTTTTAAGGTTTAAACAAAATAGAGATATCACTAATACTAAAATCTTCACAAAGAAATGCAAAGTAACTGGAACTGGAACTGGAATCTGTAGCCACCACAGCACTGAGTCATTACTGGCAAACCTGCATAACTATTTCAACAGCAGGCCATTCCCAAATGACCTCAGTGGTCACACAAAATATCTTGTGGCACAAAAGATAGGCATTTTTCTCTTGTCCGCTTTAATTATCAAATTAAAATGCCACTCAAACGCCCATCATGATGTTTCCGTAAAAGAATGGCAGGCTGAAGCCCTGATGTATCTGACTCATCTAGGAGGGCCAAACAGTGCAGCATGCCGATGTTTGAGCCGTCAATTACAAAAACCACAAGGATACTCAAAACAAGTAAAGCCGGAGGGGCAAAGCTGTTAACATTTCTTGGATGCGATAAAGTTCATGATCCAGGGTGCCGGCGGCATAACAATTCTCATAAGCCAATTGTAGCTGCCACCTCACATCATTCAGCATTTGTTCCGCTTTCCCTCTAGCCGCATATTGACTCAGTCAGCTACAGAAAATTATAAATAGGAACTCTACTTTTTAATCCATCTCTAGATGCTTTTATCTCGTTTATCCAGGTTACACATTTGGGCCATACTGTCATTGCCAGTATGCTCATAATTATAAGCTTACTTTAGTGATAGTTCAAAGCAAAACGTTACAATAAGGCCGCACACAGCCTTGCTGTCTACCATTCTGCGACCTCACAAAGTTATCCAAGTGAACATCTTTTCAGATATCTAAATTTGCTCTGGTGTTTTTCTGGAAGATTCACAGGTTGCTTTTCCATAAAGCAGAATGCAAAACTTTCTGCTTAGAACATCCCATACCGTAAAGCTGTTGCTAGAGGTGTGAGGAAGAGAACTACACCTACTTCAAATTCAGCTCAGTAAAATCACACTGCTGTTAGTAGCTGCACAGCTCTATAACAAAAGCAGCGCACAGAAGTGAGGTATATGAACAAGCATCTCCGTCATATTTCATGACAATATACTTAATACATTGTTGCATGTATCGCTACTTTGAATCAAGAAATTGCCTCTTCTCTATATTGCTTATTTCTAAATAGAAGAAATAGTATTACTGAACATACAATCTGCAAAAGAAGCCTGACGAATTACCAGAACATCGCGCACAGCGTTACAAGAGCTTACATTCAGTGCCTGCTTTATAGTCCTGATTACTGCTTACAACGGATGGATCAAGAATTATGTACCCTAAACAAATAATGTTACCCTCTTAACTCTTTACTAGTAAATAACTTCATCTCACTGGTTCCATTATAGGAGACACCATTGAACAATATGAGATGAAAAGCACATATAACGTAGTGGTTATGATGAAGTAATAATGAAGTAATATCAGCAAGCAATAAAAAAGCAGATCACTAGATCAAAGCAGTTGATGCTGAGACCCCTGTGTCTACACTAGAGGGGTCTGGGGTATTTTACTTCAGATAGGTTTCAGTCAGGTCCCCATTGCCAGATACACCCGTCACAAACATGGCTCAAAGCTGGTCATAGGACCAATTTTTAGTTTGGACCCTTATGTCCCTAGTTAAGTGTTGTAGTGCATTTGGTAGACACCTGGAATAAAGCTTTCAATTTAGTTCCCCTGAAAGATGTCCAGGAACTAGAGTTCAAAATCAGTCTCTGAACTCAATCAATGCACAGTAAGAGAGATGATCGTGGGATTTGCTTCAAAATTGTAGTACTGCTCCAAACAAAGACACTAACAAAGACACAGCCACAGTGGTTGAGCTGTGTGTCTGTTTTTTAATAAATATCAAGAGGTCACGGATCTTTGAGTATTTTGTTCTATATAGCATTTATAGGCTAATAAAATGACAAGTTTCCAGTCCTCAGTATGCTTTTCTATAATATCTCATGGTCTTGTGAAGCAAAAAATCCTATTTGAGAGGGAAAAACCCTGAAACACCACCATAAACCAAGCTTCCCTTCCCAACTGGCAATAGAGATAGATCTCTTTAATAGAGACAGAAGAGAAAGCAATTACCCATATGAATTCTCCCCTTCATTATAGTTCTTCAGCCTCACAGAAAATATTATCAATTCACATAAAAGCTGGGGAGGACACCTCTAGCAGGTCTGGTGGGGGAGGACACCTCTAGCAGGTCTGGTGGGGGAGGACACCTCTAGCAGGTCTGGTGATGCAGTTTTTACTGTCCTCTAGTTATCCCTATTGAGTCACAAAGGAAAAGAGGTCACTAACAGGTGGGGGAGGACACCTCTAGCAGGTCTGGTGGGGGAGGACACCTCTAGCAGGTCTGGTGGGGGAGGACACCTCTAGCAGGTCTGGTGATGCAGTTTTTACTGTCCTCTAGTTATCCCTATTGAGTCACAAAGGAAAAGAGGTCACTAACAGCAAGAGCAAGCTTAACACACATAGTAGCCACTGCCTCTATACCAGTAACAGCAGAGGACTGAAAAATTTGTTTGCACATCTGACTTTAAGCAGAGTCGTTATCATGTCATTTTGCCCAGCAGCATCCCCTTGAGTGCATGACACTATGGAAACACAATGAGCTG